GCATAGAAAATGTGGGATTCTGTTTCGAAGACTGTCAATTTCGAAAACAATGTGGGGAGGGAGCCTATCGATCCATTCAGCTCGGGAATCAAGGCTATTTCTACCCCACGCTGGGGTGCTGTCAAGGACACCCTGTGTTCAACAGCCGAAGGAAAATCCGAGACCACGTAAAATCATGTTGAAATCGTACGTATTGCGAGCGAGCTTGAGCCTTCTGGAGGACAGGCTCAACTAAATCATCTAAGGTTGGAATTGTAATTCGAGCTGCTAGTACTCCGGCGAGCCCTACCCGGTTGAGTCCCGTATTGACCGGTGTCAATCATCCCTTTCATGTCCCCAACAACATAAAGGGTATGTAATACGCGGTTGAAGCTCACATTAAACAGGTGAGGAAAGAAGTAAAGATTAGAGACAGGGAAAGGACCGAGAGGGGGTTATATAGCTATTAACCAGATTGTATACAACAATCAGCGATTGCAATACATCATTCCCCAACTAATATTCATTGTCTAGGCTAGGTGAAGGCTCGGAATTGAAGTCAATATAAGATTCATATTGAATATTCCTCTGATCGTGGAAAATGTGATCTTGTCTACTAAATCCCGAGCCTTCACTATGTCAGCTCGTGCCTTTCATTCAAATATCAGCATTGAATATGTGGACTCTAGGCTATGGAATATTTATTTATTTCAGCCATTAGGTACATACATAGACCAACGGATAATCTGTCGCTCCGCTGTATAGTAACCCTACCACAGTACTCGGTATATCAGCTGGTTGGATCTGCACTAGAGTTTTGCCCCACTTGAAAAGCGATCATGGTAACGTCTCGTTGTGCTTTCCCTATTAAACCCCAGAAAACCTGACCGCTATTTGTCTTAGTAGATCTTAAGATCTACTTCAATCTCAAATAGAGATGCTGCTAAAGAATTAGCTGGGTGTGCATGTCTCACTCTAGTATGGATTTCTGATCCACCCGTTGCTGCAGACCAGATTTCCATCAATTCGATTTATCGATAAGATAATCAGTCGGATGTGTTTCAAACCCTAAACAAACGTCTCGTGCCCAAAGTCTTACGCAACCAATTTCATTTTTTTTTTTTTCCCCTGGGAATTATCTGTCCCGGTGGGATCTAGAACGGTGAGTGGACGCCGAGGCAGGTTTGTTATTAACTTAACTCATCATATGAAGTGAAATGGAGCGATAAATAAATGGGCCACGGCGCAGTTGCCAGGTGCAACGGCCCGTGTTTACGTGCGCTTTTCACTACCCCTCAGCGAATCACTGCAAAACAACGTCACATCAGTAGCCCTAACAGTAGAGGGGCGATCGAAACATGACGTTGCAGTTAATATAATGACTCTTGTGGGACGTTTACTTTGGAGGGGTGGTTGGGGATGTTGCCTGTTTACCATGCTATTCTCACTGATTCCCCGATCATCTTCACTTCTTGGACTTCACTTCGGAATTCGTTCAATTGAATACAGATTCTGTCCTCTTTACAGACTTGACCCTGGATTTTCAGACTTCACCAGACTCTTACTTTCCTCTCCAAGCCGGCTCACTAAACGTCCAGACGCACACCGGCTGCGAGTCGATCTAGGAAACGCCGATCAACGGTCTTTCTGGATGCACTATGGTTTGCCTCAGATTGCACTTGAAGAAGAAGCAAGCCTAATTATGCATGAGAAGAACCCTCAGCAAAAGTCAGCGAACTTGCTGCTATACACTATCTAATACTTCTTACTCTTACTCGTACTCTGCAAAATGACTGCTTTTATCACGCTTCTGGTAGCCCTGTTCCTAGGCTGCCAAGTGTCTGCAAATCCATACGTCCCGTCCCATCTTCTGTATTCAGCGCAGTACAATGGATCCATTGCATACCTGTTACGGCCCAGTAGTAACCATACAATTGAATTCCTCTCATTGAACATCTCCCAAGACATTGACAGCGCCAAGCCCCAATATACGACCTTACTGGACGATGCGCCATTTCAGCTTTACAAGCAAAACCCCGTCCATATTCCGGCTATCGACCAACACGGCATTTTAAAAGTCTATGCGGGAGATTGCCAAAATACTTCGGGGTATGGTGCCTTATGGCAATTCATCCCGGATGCAGCGAGTTCCACCGGCAATGGAACATGGGAGAGAATCGAGGTAAATGGGACCGGCCAGTCGAACATCAGCCCTCATGGACCAAACTATCTCGCCGCTGGTTTTACATACGCCTCCACCAATACAACTAACAGCTCTTTCTACGCCTTTGGTGGGATGTGCCCACTTGCAAGTGCCTCCGAGGCCACCTGGATCACTGCCGCCAACTACTCTCAGTCCATGATAGCCCTGGAACCCCCCGAAACCGATGGTCTACCTTCCTACCGAATCTCAGCGACCGGTAACCGCGCACCTCCAATCCCTGAAGCTGGGTTCACGATTACCCCGTTACAGGCAACATATAGACCTACATCCCGTGGCACATTGCTACAACAACAAGATTTTCTGCTGATCGGAGGCCAGACTCAAAACGCATTCATCAATATGTCACAGGTCGCTGTCTTTTCACTTCCACAGAGCAGCTGGAGTTTTGTCACGATTGATTCTACACAGAGCCTGGGCCGAACGGAGCTCGCTATCCGGGCTCCCTCGGCAGTGGAACCTAGGTCCGGCCATACAGCCGTCCTTTCGCCAGATGGAAGTAAGGTGGTGGTCTTTGGGGGCTGGGTTGGCAACACCAGCATTCCTGCCAATCCACAGTTAGCTATCCTTGAACTGGCAGCAGACTCTACAGGCGCCGAATGGGCCTGGAAGATCCCGCCCACCGGAGACGCTGGGGTAGCGGCGGGAACTGGAATCTATGGACACGGCGCAACAATGCTTCCGGGCGGAGTGATGATGATCACAGGCGGTTACCATATAGCACAGTCAAGTAAACGATCTATGACTGGCACCGAGGTTAACTCAGCAGTTCTCATGTACAACGTTACTTCGGGTAAATGGGTTTCCTCCTACTCAAACCCCGGTTCTTTTCAGCCAGATGGCTTATCCAGATCGTCTGTATCCCGCAGAACTGGGCTTGGTGTCGGACTCGGTTTAGGTATTCCCTGTGTTGCTGGGGCAGCTGTTTTTCTTTGGTTCTACTTCCGGCGACGGCGAGTACGCCGAACTCGAAACCAGATGCTCCGCGACCTATCTTTGGGTGCAAAACGGTCTATTTTCTGGAGCCCGGAAGAGTCCCATCTGACTAGCAGTACTCACAGGCCTCCCCATATTATGGCTGAAAGAACAGGCCTTTTAAGAGAAACCTCTAGCCCCACTAAAAACAACCCGCTGCCTTTGAATGCGAGAATTTACAGACCTCCGGCTCAATGTAATGAGTATAGGCGAAGCGACGGGACCGGTGACATGCAGCCGATTGATGAAGAAGATGAGGCACATGGTGCAGCAGGTGGAGATAGCACCGGTTTATTGCCAGAGGTGACTCGTATAGAGCTTTCTCCTGACGGACCCACAGCCTTTGCGACGAGCATCGGTCGACCTAACGAAGGACAATTTTCAGAGCACGTCGACAGAGAATCTTCAAACCTTTCGGACTTCTCGAGGTCGGCAGCTCATCCATCTCGCGGTATCATCGACAACCATCCGGGCCAGCCTACCAGTGGGCGTGAATCCCCAGAAAAGTCGAGTTCTGCATCCAACCAAAGTCGGGACACTTGGAGCCGACCTAACAGTACCGTGATCTCCCATGAACGCCGGTCTTCTGATTCATTTTCAACTGCCCATACAACTATTTCACAACGACAAGCAGAAGGCGAACATCTTCTACGAAACGACCCTGAACCTTCCTCTCCAATTGACCTTATGCCAAGACCCCTCTCTATCTCAAAACCGAGGGCTGAATGGATCGGCAACGTCCGACGAGTGCTCTCTATGACACGAAAGCGGCCCCAGTCATCTGAAGACGGCAGTGTCGCCTCTACAGCTTCGGGTATTGACAGAAGGAGTGCCGTGCTTGGATCCCCAAGGTCTTTGTTCGATTATGAACCTGAATCCAAGCTCCCTCGGCGATCCGTCAGTGCCTCAGCAGAACTATTCCGACGCAAACAGGGTGCTAAAGACTGGGGAACGGGCAATATTGTTTCACGTGAGTTGACTGGGAGGACGGCACGCGATGACTTCGGATTGGATGGAGTGCTAGATCTCAATGATGACGACTGGGACGTGGAGGGCGCAGCAGAAAACCGACGCGTCCAAATCACCTTTACCGTGCCGAAGGAGAAGCTGCGAGTTGTCAATGCTACGGCCAATGATATGGACGATATCAGCGAGAAGTCCGTTAGTCGAAGCAACAGCCGGTGATGATCTTGACGTTAGTCTGATATGGCATACATACACCTCAAACGTGTCTATCGTTGACTATATCAACGGTAGAAGATGGTGGACTAAATAGCCTGAACGGTCTGAATGTTGGGTAGGTAGCACCAGCGTTCCTGCCAATCCAGGGTTAGCTATCCTCTCACTGGCAGCAGACTCTACAGGGGTCCGCCGAGGCAGGTGCGGTCGTTATATGAAATGGAATGGAAGGAGCAATGGGCCATAGGGTTGTCACCAGCACGGGCGCTTGTACTACAACTCCGCGAATAGCTTCAACAACGTCGCTCCAGTAGCCCTAACAGTGGAGGGGCATCTGAGGTCGTTATCATGGCTTTGGCGGTCCAAAGTCAGCGCCGGCGGCGGTTGGGAATTAGGCAGACATTGGAATTGTTGGGACTTATGATGCTATCATGACCGATGCAGGCGGTCATCTTCCACCTTGGGTTCTCAACTTCACTTTGAACTCACATAACTCAACCATCACTTGCTACCTGTCGTTAGACGCTTCTTAGCCTTCACTTTCTATCAAGAATCAAGACCTTACTCTTCTCAATAAAGTCACTCTTACTCTCTCAATAAAAACCACTATTCTCCGAAAGTCCTCTGCAAATCAACCTCAACCACCATGTCTATGATCATGGAAATCCTTTTTATCCTCCTGGTAGCCCTCACCATGGGCTGCCCCTCCACCTACGCCATGCCAATCAATGTTGATTTGGCCAAAACCAAGCCATCGATTTCCATCCACACAGGGCCCAAGGTCGGGCTCGGTATAAGCATCCCTTTGATTATTGGAATAGTTGTCGTCGTCTGGCTCTACCTCCAGCGCCGCCGAAAGAGGGCGGCAAATAAGGACCGAGATAATTGGCTAAGGGAGCTCTCGCTGACAACACAACGGGAGCTCCTCTGGCATCCAACCGACCCCTACTCTTCCTGTGAAATTAAAAAGCCTCCCAGGGAGGCAATTACCTCCATGCCCCAGCAGCCACCAAGCTGGTAAGGTAACCCTAAGATCATGGTATGAAAGAACAGGCATTCTAATAGAAATTATAGTGTGGTTAGAGAGGGCCGATTACTTCTGTGCACATGTCACCGGCCCCTGGTACACCACGTCGAGATTAGGCGCGCCGAGATTAGGCGAAGTATCGGGGCCGGTGATATGTGCACCATTCTGGAGGAGTGATGGGGGGTTTTTTGGTCTCGTCGCCCCTTTCCATCGACCTCTATATCGTGTGGTTGTGGGTTGGTGGGCGGGCTTGGGGTCCCCTTGTGGGACAAACCCACAACCGCACGATATGTCGGTGGATTGGGGTGGATATGGGTTGGACATTTGGTAATCATGTTATGTTTTGGTTTGGGTTTGGGTTGAGTTTGGTGTTTTTTTTTTTTTTTTTTTTCCTGGTTTTCTGGAACATTTTGGAGCATCATTGGTTTTTTTGTTTCTTTTTCTTTTTATTTTGGGACATGCTCTTTTTTTCTTTTTGGAATGATACCTGAAGAGACGATTGGATGATGAGATGATTGGACGATTAGACTACTAGACTATTACTACTGGATGAATAGATTCC